TATGTATCTCTAGTACTTATCGATTTAGAATCATCATACTTTGTCAGTTGATGCATCTTTGGTTTTCGGAGAATGTCGACCTAAGAGTAGGTCATGGTGACCTACTTTTGAATATCTCAGGTATTTATTGGCTTAGAATTATCAAACTTGGTCAGCAGATGCATCTTTGGTTTTAAAAAATGTCAACCAAAATGTAGGTCACAATGACCAACTTTCGACATTTTATGGCTATATTTAAGTATCCCTGGTACTTATTGATTAAGAATCATCATACTTTGTCAGTTGATGCATCTTGAGTTTTCTGAGAATGTTGACTAAAGAGTAGGTCACAGTGACCTACTTTTGAATATCTCAGGTATTTATTGGCTTAGAATTATCAAACTTAGTCAGCAGATGCATCTTGGGACTCTGAAAAATGTTGACTAAAATGTAGGTCACGATGACCTACTTTCGACATTTTATGGCTATATTTAAGTATTTTAGGTATTTATTGGCTTAGAATAATCATACTTTGTCACTTGATGCATTTTGTGATTTCCAAGAATGTAGACCAAAAAGTAGTTCTAATTGGCTAAGAATCATCAAACTTTGTCAGGTGATGCAACTTGGGTCTTTAATAGGATACTTAGGGTTAGAGGCTTCAAATACAAGTGATAGGTTGTACAATTTATCAGAGAGCGATTCAAGGCCCTTGGGCCTCTTGTTTTCTTTTTCCTCCTCCTTGTTGTTATCTTTTTCCTCGTCATCAGGGCTAAAAAACAGTTGTCAAGACCGATAAACTTAAAAGTAGGTCACCGTGACCTACTTTTTGAACTTTATGACTTGTCCTTTTTAAAACATTTAATCCCATTATTTCAGGCACTGAAAGGGTTAGAATCATCAAATCTTGTAAGTTGCTGCATCATGGGACCTTAAAACATATTTAAGAAAAAGTAGGTCACTGTGACCAATTTTAGAATTTTGCAGGCATTTGTTTTTGAATTGTTTAAAAGGCATATTTTGATTACCTTCAGACTTACGATCATCAAACTTGTTCAGTACATGCATCTTAGGACTTTGAAAAATGTCGATCAAAATGTAGGTCACGAAGACCTACTTTCGACATTTTATGGCTATATTTAAGTATCTTAGGTACTTTTTGGCTTAAAATCATCAAACTTTGTCTGTTGATGCATCTTGGGTCCTCAGAAAATGTCGACTAAAAAGTAGGTCATGGTGACCTACTTTTGACATTTTATGGCTATATTTATGTATCTCCAGTACTTATTGGCTTAGAATCATCAAACTTTGTGAGTTGATGCATCTTAGGTTTTCGGAGAATGTCGACCAAAAAGTAGGTCACGGTGACCTACTTTTGACATTTTATGGCTATATTTATGTATCTCTAGTACTTATTGGTTTAGAATCATCATACTTTGTCAGTTGATGCATCTTTAGTTTTCGGAGAATTTCAACCAAAAGAGGTCATGGTGACCTACTTCTGAATATCTCAGGTATTTATTGGCTTAGAATTATCAAACTTGGTCAGCAGATGCATCTTGGGACTTAAAAAATGTCAATCAAAATGTAGGTCACAATGACCTACTTTCGACATTTTATAGCTATATTTAAGTATTCTCCGGTACTTATTGGCTTAGAATCATCAAACTTTGTCAGTTGATGCATCTTGGTTTTTTTTCGGAGAATGTTGACCAAAAAGTAGGTCACGGTGACCTACTTTTTGACATTTTATGGCTATATTTATGTATCTCTAGTACTTATCGATTTAGAATCATCATACTTTGTCAGTTGATGCATCTTTGGTTTTCGGAGAATGTCGACCTAAGAGTAGGTCATGGTGACCTACTTTTGAATATCTCAGGTATTTATTGGCTTAGAATTATCAAACTTGGTCAGCAGATGCATCTTGGAACTCTAAAAAATGTCAACCAAAATGTAGGTCACAATGACCAACTTTCGACATTTTATGGCTATATTTAAGTATCCCTGGTACTTATTGATTAAGAATCATCATACTTTGTCAGTTGATGCATCTTGAGTTTTCTGAGAATGTTGACTAAAGAGTAGGTCACAGTGACCTACTTTTGAATATCTCAGGTATTTATTGGCTTAGAATTATCAAACTTAGTCAGCAGATGCATCTTGGGACTCTGAAAAATGTTGACGAAAATGTAGGTCACGATGACCTACTTTCGACATTTTATGGCTATATTTAAGTATTTTAGGTATTTATTGGCTTAGAATAATCATACTTTGTCACTTGATGCATTTTGTGATTTCCAAGAATGTAGACCAAAAAGTAGTTCTAATTGGCTAAGAATCATCAAACTTCGTCAGGTGATGCAACTTGGGTCTTTAATAGGATACTTAGGGTTAGAGGCTTCAAATACAAGTGATAGGTTGTACAATTTATCAGAAGAGCGATTCAAGGCCCTTGGGCCTCTTGTTTTCTTTTTCCTCCTCCTTGTTGTTATCTTTTTCCTCGTCATCAGGGCTAAAAAACAGTTGTCAAGACCGATAAACGTTTTATCTTAAAACGATTGTGTGAAAATCTCTCTTTGAAAAAAAAATAATAAGTAACTGCAGGAGGATATTTTCAATTACCTTAAATTAAAGGTGGACATCTTAAGTAAATCAAAAGTACTCCCCAAAAGGGAGAACCTCTCCATCTTGCCCTGGTTGTTACTACTGGAATAATAAAAGTTCAATATAAATAAAAAAATACATTTTAAAGGAGGGAAAGCTCAGGTATGATTTGAAAAAAAAAACAAATCACTTACTCATCACTTATTGTGATGATGTCGACAATGGGACTGTAAAAAAAATCAATGTTTAATAATGATGTGTAAGAAGTGTATACATTATTTTTCGTATTTTAAGACTAATCATTGCAATAAATATACTTACGGATTCCTCCTCCTTGGGGCATTGGGTGGCTGCCTGTACAGAAGAAAATAAAAGGGGGAAAATAGTTAAAATATTTTTACTAACAATTTAGAAGATGAAATTTGACCAAAATCCTTTTAGAAAAAAAATACTAACTCCAATGCCGCCGCGGGGCGCTGAGGGGTCTCGCTATAAAAAAAGGATACACAATTTGCAAATGAAAGAGTATACACTATTGCCTTTAATATGAAGAAGAGAAAAATTGTCTAAATTCATGACGAAAACAATACTAACTCTGTTGCCATCACTATTCGGCGTCTACTGGGTTCTCAGTGGGTGTACTGAAAAATGAGAAAAAAATGCAAATTGAAAGATGATCTTTTATGGTAACAATGTCAATTTAAAAAAAATATATATGATTTTTTCAATATAATCATTAATCTTGATAGTGAAAAAAAATTAATGTATGTTAATTTTACCCGATCATAATACCTTCGATGAGAATTATTTATGCTGAACTAAGTGAAAAAAGAAGGAAATCTTTTCAAGTAGAAGTAGAAAAAGGTAAAATTATGGGAAATACCTGGTCATTGGCGCCCTTCTTTTGTTGGAATAATAATCCATGCTATAAATGAAAAAAACCCAGAAATTAATATTGGACATACCTGATGCTTAAGAATAACATCCGAAGAATCATAACTCCAGGAAAGAATAAAAATACTCACGGGCAGGGCAGTCTCCCCAGTTGTACACATATTATTGTTATACCCTTATGAATATCATTCTATATATTTGTTACTAATAAAAAGTCCAACAAAAGAACTGTTAATTACTGCGGTCTAACAATTTCACTATTGATCGGTCTTACATAAGAATTGTTAGACCGCAACGTCACTCGTCTGTTACGTCACAAGTAATTAATCATCGTTCAATATCGGCGACGCGAAAATAGCCGAAGTTAAGAGCTACAAGAGTTATTGCTAACAGCACGGTTAGGAAGAAGGGAAGAGTATGTTTTGTGATGAATAATTTTTGTGATACAATAGACATATAATTGATTTTGTTCTTTCTCAGCTTGATGTTTTCAATTTACTAAAGAAGCCATAATTTTCCATAAAAATAATTGATTATATAGCGTGTATTGAATAAATTGATCAGTTTTAAGTGAGCCTGCGGCCTCGGGCAACATTTTCACCTTCAGGTCCAACAAATCATATGTTGCCCTCATACCCAGTCAATAACTGTATATTGTTAATTTTTCAATGATTTTCCTAACATCATCACAAATACAATGCCTTAAAATAAATAAATAAATAAATAAATATCTCTGAAAAGAAGTTGCAATTTTTTTTTCTGACTAAAAAATGAGAAAACATGAAATACCGTTCCATGTTGAAAGAGGAGGGTCCAAAAAAAAAAGGAGTGAAGATTTAGCGCGTTTTTCCTCTTTTTAGGTCACCTGAGTAAACTCAGGTGACCTATTGCTATCTGTTTTCGTCCGTCGTCGTGCGTTGTGCGTTAACATTTGAACATTTTCAGCTTCTTCTCTGCAACCACTGAACCAATATCAACCAAATTTGGCCTAAACCTGAGGGGTGGGGCCAAAACCACTAAACTTAATGCAATATTTAAAAATCTTCTTCTTTACTCCTGGACATCAAGCAGTCAAACTGTTTGCATGATTGTAAACAGCATTGAGTCCTTTACCAAGATTGTGAAATTCATAAACCCCATTTATTCTTTTTTTTTCGTAAACATAATGAACAGTATTTAATTGCACCCTGTACAGTAAGAATATGGTTGAATTTTATTTTATGAAGGTCCTATTTGTAATTCACTAACACTGAGGTTTGTAAAAGATGCATTTGGGTACTGTTTGTCTAACATTTCATCCAGTGTATAAATTCCCGAGCGTTAAAATGAAAAACTGGTTGGGTTCTATTCAAACACCTGGTGTTTCAATGTCGATATTGAAATTTTTCATGAAGTCCTGAATATAATTCACCAACTTAGAGGTTTGTAACAGGTCCATTCGGACATTGTCCACAAGTTCGTTAAGGGCATTCAAAACCTAGGTGGGTTCTATTCAAACACCTGCTGCACATGTTTCAATGTCAATATTGAAATTTTTTCATAAAGCCCTGAATATAATTCACCAACATAGAGGTTTGTAGCAGGTCCATTCGGACATTGTCCACAAGTTCATTCAGGGCATCCAGTTCCTCTTTAAGAGGAAACTGGATGGGTTTATTCCAAAACCCCGGTGCTTCAATCGGCGTAAGTCCCGAGGTTTGAGTTTGGGTTGACAGAGGGACGACCGGTGGAGACACTGGGCTGTACACTGGCGGGGATTGGGTTGGTGCCCATGTCTCTTGGAACATCGTTGTAGATGCGCTTTTCTCGGTGAACGAAGTATTAAGCAAATCTCTTGTAGTCATTCTCTTCTCCAATTTTATATATTTCGAAGGGTTTTCCTGTCTGTTTCAAAGAAAGTAATGAAATCTTTTTTAAACAACCATATAACAGAATTAAACTTTTTAAAAGATTATGAAGGAATTAATTTTTAAAAATATAAGGGTATACATTTAATGTTTTAAGAATTTCAACTACATTTAATCTGTTCAAGACACTGAATATTTGTTGCATAAAAAATCTCGACACTCGAACATAAATTCAATACTTGAAATTTTTCAACAAAGGGTCTTCTTGTTCAATCTGTTGTGTGATCACCCCCGCTTTCACAGGTTGCTTTCCAAATTTTTTTCGATTCAAAATTAGGGAATCCTCTGCTTCTTCAATCTTCCTCTTTTTCGATAAAGGGGATTTGTATGGATCCTTTGGAGAATTTCTATTTTTTAAAAAAATAAAAGTAAGTGAATTTAAAAAAGAAAAATAAAATTATCTTTGGTCAAAAACGATTCAAAGATGCTAGACGACAGCAGGTAAATTTGAAATATTTTCTGTTTAAATTTTATTTTATTTCTTTATTTCTTTTTGGTATATCTTCTTTAAGCGCTTAAAAATCAAAAGCAACAATGAAAAGCGTTGAAATTATAACTTACCCTGAATCAAATATCACAGAGAAGTTGTGCTCCAACTCAATCCACTCCTCTTCGAAGTCCTGGATGTTATATGTTTGTGCACTTTTTTTATTTTACTTTTTGTGATTGTTCTGCTTTATTTATTTAGTTATATTTATTATAAAAATTAAAAAAAAATTAAAATAAAAAAATCGATTTAAATTTTCATGAATCTAAATAACAATAAATTTTTAAGTAATTTCATGCTTCACGTATAGGAATAATATCCAATGTAATATATCAACTTTTATTAATCTTAATAAAAATACAATTAACTATAAACTTTTAAACTTCATTTAAAAAAAAAAATTAATAAATAACGAGATGTCTTAAGTAAGACATTAATGTCATAATGTAATAACTTACTGAAATTCAAAGAAATTCAAAGAAATTCAAAGAATGACTCTGCTTTCTAATCGTTACGTTTTTCCAAGTTGACTTTTTACAATGATGACATTAACGGTTATTCTTCATTTTTTATATCCCAGGGGTGGGTCTTCTGCGCCTTCTAGTTGCCATGGGGGGTTTCTATTTTTATATTATTTTGGTTGGATAAGGGAGGCGTGTTCTAGTTGTCATGGGGCTATCTATTTTTATTTCTAATAAAGTCTATTATAATGAAAGGGTTGGGGACCATTGGGTATGGGGAGGGTGGGATAAGGGAGGTGTGTTCTCGTTGTCAAGAGGGATCTCTATTTTTATCAGTTTAAATTTTTTACCTTTAAAACTGCCGCGACCTTATTATACGGCTGCGCGTAAAGCATGTCGGTATCACGTGAAACTTAAAGTATGAACAGATAGATTAGAGTTATTTAAAAAAAATATATGAATTCCTTAAAAATAAAAAAAGTTAGATGAAAAATGTAAATTTTTCGCAATGATTCCTTATGTAAAATTGAAACAAATTGGGGAAAATAAGGGAGGGGGGGGTAATTCGAAATTAAATACACTTTATTTTTCTTACATTTTTAAAAGAAACAATGTCACTGAAAACTTGTAAATTGCACAGTATTCTTTTTAGCCGGGCTTATTGCTCAAAGAGTAATTGCCGGCTTATGTGATCCTGTTCAAGACAGGATGTTGACCCCATAGTCGCCATTTTAAAGTTACGTGCAAAAATATAGTTCTTACTCTCAACCGCTTTTGAGATAATACAAACGCTATATAAAGCAGCAAAAATAAAACGAAGTTTTATCTATATAAAATAAACATTAGTAGTAATGACTTTGAAAACTTCATAAGTCAAAGAACATAGTTCATTAGCATAAGGATTTTTGATAATCAGTGTTACCGTAGATCTCTGCACATACGAGGTAAAGCAGGAGAGGGAACCAGACTGGCCTGTTTGTTTACATTCAGCTGCGGTACCAGATTAATTCTGATTCTGACAAAATCGGACCGTGATATTAGTATTGAAAAACTCACTTTCAGTGTCTTATCATTTGTATTGATTGTTTTAAAATAATTCTTTCATCAGAATATAGATGTGATTCATGGAAGAAATCCATTTTACTCTGTAAATGAGCCCGACTCTTTGTACTTCTGAGTACTTTGATTTTTTTAATACGATAGTAATATTCGCCATTGTGATAGTTTTAAAGTATGCAAACATAAATTAACAAAGTTAAACCAATTCAAGTCAGGTTTTGAAAATTTTAAAAACTAGGAGAGAGAGAGAGTGTGTGTATTTATTATCATAGTCCGAAATAACTAACGTTTTTTTTCCTGGCCTTTAACGATTTGATGGTACGTAAAGTATTAAAATCGTAAAAAAGCCAGGAAAACGCCAGATACTTCGGATTGTTATTATCATAGACCTGTATTTTTAATCATCATATCTACAGATTTTTTCACATGTACATGTTCATTTAGATATATCTTTGGATATCACAGTGCATAAGTGACCCTCACTGACAAAGATCGTTTGGTAAATAGATTAACGATTGCGGTATGATTTTTTTTTTATTTCATTGTTTTAGGAATGCCGATTTGTCCTTAAGTACCAGCCCTCATTCTCCTTCAACGCTTTGTCTTTGGAAGAAGGATATGGATTAACGAACAGTATTCAATCTCAAAGTCCATACAACAATACAAAATAAGAACAGAGCAAACACGGACCCTCGAAACATCAGAGGTGGGATCAGGTGCCAAAGGGGAGTGAGCATCCCCTGCCGACCGGTCACACCCGCCGTGTGCTCCTTGTCATGATCAGGAAATAACGGGAAAATCCGTCGTCAATTCAGTATATAAATAATGGACTAACAATTGGTTTGAAAAATGTCAGTTAGCATTTGACTCAATGATAAACTGTATTTGCTGACAAGGTCATTGTAACGACCATAGAACTTACGAAATGATGACTTTAAACGAGACTGCTGATATTCTTGTTTCGTCAACTTGCTTGTCAATAATTACCTCCTTTAACAAATTGTTCATACGCAGAGCATGCTCTTGCGTATTGAATCAACTGAGATATATATACACCGTATGCAGGTGATGAAGGTATATTGCTGCATAAGTAAGGGAGTTGACGATAGAAAAGATAAAGTCATCGCGTTTATCATATTGCTTGGTTGTTAGATTATCATTAATGTATTTTTCCAAGTAAAATTCCAAGTATGAAACAGAAGTGTCGGACTCTGTGGTATCTTTTATCTCAGGCTCACCAGGATATATCGTATCGACGTATGAATTGAAATTATCATTATTAATTGACAATACATCGTCGATATATGTAAATGTCGAGTTGAAGGCCACAGCAAGTGTTTTCCTCTTTTCACGCATACGATTTTGCATAATTTCTGCTTCATATGAATATAAAATTAAGTCTGCTAATAACGGAGCGCAATTTGTATTGGAATTCCAATAGATTGTTGGAATACCTGATCTCCCAAAACTACATAGATGTTGTCAATCAGAAACTCAAGCATCTTCTTGATGTCAACTTCAGAGTACTTATGTGTGTAATCAGAATCTGTTTAAACAAAAACAATTTTACAAATGACAAATAACGAGGTAAGTAAATTTACGAGTTCCATTTTTATTGAAGAAGCAGCTGTCAAAGATATCAAAAAGCCTGGATTTTAATTTGTCGTGGGGAATTGTTGCGTGTCGTAAGTTTTTAAGATGTTGATTTTTGTAAGGTCTTGCGACTTCAAAGTGTCCAAAAGTTCTTTAGCATTTTTTAGTATCCACATCTGATTCACACCACTTCTTGAATATATAGTTGCACAGTACTCTTGAAAGTTTTCCTTCACTACTGTCAATATCTTAGTGAGGAGTAACGAAAGAGGCTTGGTTGAACATTTACTGGAACCTGCAATGTATCTTTGTTTGTAAGGATTCTTATGAAGTTTTGGAATCCTATATATATATATATATATATATATATATTTTCAGATTGACTGAAATATAAACAAAGATAATATGAAACACTTGAATTTCATACAAAATAAACTTGCACTCATAATAAACTGGTATTTCATATAGTTGAAAGAAATTACTATGGATAAAAGTAACAATGTAAAAGGGACTTATGACACTAAATGGCTTCCATAGAAATAAAATTTGCAGCATGACATTTAGAAGTATTAAACCACAAATATTACGTCAAAATTATCAAAATATATTCTGAGATAACTTGTAACATTATCAATATATCACTTAGCAAATAATTCATAGAAAGATGTACAAATTAAAACAAGGCTATTTTTACATTATCAACAGACGACATGTTTCCAGTATGAGAGCTTCAATAATTACACATAAAACTTCTTTAAGCCTCTTAAAAAAGTATAAACTTATAGAGATAATCATTTTACAGAATAATTAAGTGTTTACAAATAAGTACAAACTCTGTGATAGGCCTAAATTATGAAGAATATGTAGTAGAAGAATAAGTGGCGTTCAACCACGTTAACAAATGGCGGGCTTATATACAACAATTTTACCAAAAAAACACAAAAGAATTCACATAAGAGTTCTAACATGAAAAATCAATAATCAAAGAAAGATAACTCTCACTTGACAGAACAATATTCAAATAAATTGAATTTTCACATGGTTCTGACTAATAAATTTCAATACTATTTATCAAAAGAAAAAAAACTTCAGGATTTTTTGAATCAAGGGATATGATTACAGTATGAATGTATGTACATGGTTGAACATTGTTTTTATTTTTTATTTTTATATGACTCTCTCTCTCTGTCTTCCAATCTGAAAAAAAACTCAACATTCTTCTTATCATTTTTTCCCTTTTTTTCTTTTGATTTCTTTTTTTTATTATAATATCTGTTACCGAATATTAGAGGAAAAAAGTGTATAAATTTCGGGTCACCCCGACCAACGTGTCACGTGTCCAGAAGTCCGTGCAAAGAACAAGGTTCGCTTTTGCCTTATTTGGCCCTGTGAATTTCTGAAAAAACTGAAACTGCATAGTTTTAGTTAACAATGCATTAAATATCACTTAGATCATCTATCAAAAATGACGTCATTTTCTGGCTAGTTAATGCATTATGACGTCACGAAATGCGTCAATTTCCTCATATTCTGAAAAAGTCTACAAAAACGGCCAATTTTTAAAGCTATTTTTTGATATTTAATATAGAGCGCAACCAACCTCTGATCTAAAATATGCAACTAGTAAATTATAGAACTGTTTCTGAGGATTAATTGACATGTTTTATTTTTTAGATCAGAGAATGCGCTCATATTATTTTTCTTCACTGAAAGTACTCAATTATACCTGTTTACCTAAAAATTCAAGAACATTGCAATTTCATAAAGCCAGTTCTCCTAGACCTGGACTTATAGAAGAAATTTTTTAATAGGATATGAAAGCACCAAGTCTCTATTTTATTTTAATGCTTCAAATAGAAAATCAAGTCATGATCAATTAATCAGTATATCTACAGGGCTATTTTATGCATAAAGTGAACCGACTTCTTTCGCGCACTTTCAGAGATGATCATGATAGCCAGGAGTATGAGGGTGTTGTATGTTTTCACGCTATGGTTTTGCTTGTGGACGGATGTACACGATGTTGGCCGAAAAGTTTAGTCAATCGTGTTATGAACTGTAAACACATTTATTCGAATGTGTGACCCTAACGATCCCGAACAACTGGGAGAGTGTACGAGAGCTTAGGGTTTCGAGGTGTTCCACGAGAGTAACAGTCGAAGGGGGTCTATCAATGATATCGATGCTGTCAGAGATAGACGTGGAAATATCTGCAGTGGAACAAAAGGTAGTGTGTGTACAACTTAGAACAAAATACGGTAATGATTGTAATCGTGAGAAAGTACATAATTATCATAATAATGCATTCAAATTTAAAAAGAAATTTAAAAAAAAGATATGTAGATTTTCAGAATGATGCTATAGAATGGGTGAATTGTGGTTTTTTATTAACTTCATGTAATCATTTGGAGTGACATCTATAATATAATGAAACTGCTAGATCCATCCGTGCAACATGTCACGCGATTCTCTGACGTGATCTCTATTAATAGAAAATATTGAATGACGTCGTCTACAATCATAACTACTCGGCCATTTCTCTCTTACGGAAAATGGCCGAGTAGTTACGAATGTAACATCTATCCTGTTCCTAAAGGATGTAAACAAATGGCGTCGTCCGGACTTTTTAAATTTTTTTTTTAAAAATCCACAATGGGCTTACCTGTCAAGTACACTATACCTCATTTTTTTCATCCCAAACAAAAAAAAGTTGTTCTGTTTGGAAAAAGAAAATCATATGAGCTTAGAAACTTTAGTTAGATAAGCATTGTAGGTACAGATATGTCAAGTGGGAAGTCCATTGCTACCCAGACGCCACCAAGTGTATCTACTCGTACCCAGAAGCCACCAATTGTATTAACACGTACCCAGATGCAACCACGTGTATCTTTACCTACCCAGATGCCCCCACGTGTATCTTATTCTACACCCGCAACCCAGATGCTACCACGTCAAATAATGGATAAATTAATTATTATGGATATGAAATTGGTATTATGTATTACACAGCATCTTTTTTTTACTTGTACACTTGTATATAAAATTGTTTTCTTATAAAGATGAAAAAAATAATGCTGAAAAATGTGAAAAAATCTTAGGATTTGAAAAATAAATAATATGTAACTTTTTATCAACATACATGCTAATGTATATAACAAGATAAACATATTGTGTGCAGGTGCTTGGTCCTTATTATGGCAAATTAGATTTACAAAGAGTTTGCAAATACTTGAGATATGGTTATTCATTGTACTAAGTTATCATTTACATAGAAAATGAATTAAGGGTGTTTATATCTGCTCAATATATTTGATATATATGTATGTAGCGATGTTCTCAATTCACATATTTAACGTAAAATTTGAGAAGTTATGAATGTAAGACTGAACAAGTTCTTAAAAAAATCGTGTAGCTTGATAATCAGGGCGACATAGTATGTACAAGGTCAGCGTGAACATTAATACCAGTTAGCGTGACCTCAGATCACCTATCTGTTGAAAACTTAAATACGATAGCAAAATTTCTACTATGTAAAAAGAGGAAAGAGGAAGAGCTAAAGTCGGTTAAAGAGCTCACCACAGCTCATGTTATTTCTGTTGAATTGCATATATGTGCCGACTATAAATAAAAATTACTTGACCTGACTTGATTTGAATGATAAACACATTAAATTTAATTAATTACAAACAATGCTTCCATTCATTGTGTCGGTATTTTTTTTTTTTTTGGTTAAGGAGGAATGCCACGCCAACTTTTTATTTTATAAATCTCTAAGTTAACCTTTTTAAACAATGGTTTCAGCATTGAAAGGCCAACATTAGCTCTTAATTATTTTATATGAATTTTTTTGTATTTTATCAAAGAAAACGAAAACAATTAATTACATCCAAATTAGATGCTTTCTTGTAAAATTTTTGCTGTAAATGAATGCATCACATGAATACCTAATAAAATATGTAAAGAAAGTCTGGTTAGACTTTTAAATTTTTTCTATAAAAAATTATTTATGAAAATTAAACACATAATTTGTGAATATTTTTTAAACTTGTGGTTAAAATCTTCTTAAAACCAGTCACAACTGGGGAGAACATGTTCATTAATCATATTTATAAAAGAAATTGAAACGAAATATCCAAATTTTGGAGAAATTAATTTTTTTAATTTTGGCCAATCCCGAACAAAATTAAACCGATCCCGACCATAATTGTACAATTATTGGAAATAAATAACATTTTCCTAAAAACACTAGTCTGATTAGGTGTTATAAGGGTTAACACATTATAGAACCTGACAATAAAATAGATTTCTTCATTGTAAATATATGAAGAGGCAATAAATTAGCATTTTATTCATTTTGTGTAAATTTTGATCGGGATCGGTTGAATTTAGATCGGGTTAGGTTCAAATATTAAAAAAAATAATTTCTCTAAAATTTCTAAATTTCGTTTCAATTTCTTTTAAAAATATGATTGACAAACATGTTGTCCTTAGTTGTGACTTGTTTTATGGTGTTTTTAACCATAAGTTTAAAAAATATTCACAAATAATGTGTTTTATTTTCATAAATAATTTTTTATTAAAAAAATTAAAAAGTCTAACCAGACTTTCTTTACATATTTTATTAGGTATTCAAGTGATGCATTCATTTACAGCCAAATTTTTACAAGAAAGCATCTATTTTGGATGTAAATAATTGTTTTCATTTTCTTTGAAAAAATACAAAAAAATTCATAGAAAATAATTAACACCTAATATCGGCCTTTAAATGCTGAAACCACTGTTTAAAAAGGATGACTTAAAGATCTATAAAATAAAAAATTGGTGTGGCATTCCACCTTAAATATAAGGTCTTGTAGTAGAGTGAATGATATACCCTGATATTTTTTTAATTGTGAAAAAAGTGATTCAT